AGGCTGTTTATCAAAATTAACCATCTCTCCCAATTTTTTTCACTTCTGTTTCAGCCATGGAAACATTCTTCTAGTGAAGATGAATGCAAAGCAATGAGCGCCTTGGCAAACATCAACAGAGTTGTTCACGGAAGTAAGTGAAAAAGCCGGGTGGTGCTGAGTTCGGAGGAATGTTTTAGAGAATGCTGTGCCCATGCCCTCAAGAGCTGTCTGAGGTTCGTGGGAGTTGCTTTTCCTGGACCCTTTCTACCCAAGGACCTGCAACCTCACTGTCATAAGAACTTAAAGCAAGGATCCACGCAGGACATTGTTGTCTGCACTCATCTCTCTAAAATTAACATACGCCAGGACCGTGGCAGTCCTGTGGCCTTAGGGCCCAGGAAAATGGTCACAGATGGTCTTAGGGCCCAGGAAAATGGTGTCCACCAGGTTCATGCTAGGACCCTTGTGGTCCAGTGGTTAAGAATCCATCTGCCAATTCAGGGGACATGGGTTTGATCCTTGGTTGGGGAACTAAGATCCCACGTGCTGTGGGGCAGTACCTAAGCCCATGCGCCACAACTACTGATCCTGCACTCTAGAGTTCACAAGACGCAGCTACTTAAGCCCACACGCCTTACAGCTGTGCCTCCGCAACAAGTGAAGCCAGGAGAAGCCAGCACATCACAACTAGAGAAAGCTGTGCATAGCAGCAAAGAGCCTGTGCACCACTTCAAAGACCCAGTGCGGCCAAAAATAAAAAATGAAGAAAATCAGTCCACACCCAGCTGCCCAATATTTCCAGCTTCTGGAATGTTCCAAACAGAAACACTGCTTCCGTGTATTGAAAGTGCCTTCATTTGATCCTCTGCAAAAATCCTGAATGTGGCCTGGGTACCCGCTTTGCAGATTACAACATGCTGAGTTCAAGGGAAGTTCAGAACTTGCCCAGGATGAGTAGGGGCAACAATGTCTGCTTTGTGACTCTTGGTCCAGCATGCTTTCTGCCTCCACCTTGAACTTTTCAATTTCTTTCCATTCTCTCTGTTCACACCATGGTCACACTACCTCTCCCACAGGGGTGGCATGACTGAATGCCCAGGATCCATCTTACTCTCTCCTGTTAAGTTTTGGGGGGTGACATTGGGGGACTGATCTCCAGCCCCAAGGGGTCTCTGGTTGGCCTCAACCAGTCCCATGGGCCTGCTTCCATCCTTTGCCAGCACCAGGTTCAGGATTCCAGGTGAAGCCAATGCCCTTGGTATTCCCCAGGGGATAAGGGCTGCTTTAGGGATGGCACGTGACTTAATTGTTCCCAGTGAAATTCAAGGGAAACTTGCTTGCATGTTTCTAGGAAATGCCCTGGAGACATTACTGAGCCATTGGACCTCCACTTAGGGAACCCAATAAATTTCCTTATTGTTTAGACCAGCTGGTTTTGGGTTTTCCCTTCCTCGAAGCAGATGGCATTCTAAGTGAAATCTAATTTATGGGAATTTCAGCAGCCGACTCCAACCTGGAGTCCTCACACTTGGTGCCCTCACTGCAGCTGGAGATGGTCCTGACAAGTCCGACCGGTCAGCCCCATCTTTATCGTCACATGTGCTGTTCCCACCATCATTATTTGCCTGCCTGTCCATCTCCCCAACTCACAGAGACGGCTGTGAAGGCAGGAACCATCCCTTCCATCTCTGGCTCAGTTCCCGGCACAGGGAAGCAGATGCAAGTATTCTTAGTCGCTCAGTCATGTCCAACTACTTGTGACCCCACGGACTGTAGCCTGCCAGGGCCCTCTGTCCATGGGATTCTGCAGGCAAGAATACTGAAATGGGTAGCCGTTCCCTTCTTCAGGGGATCTTCCTGACCCGTGGATGGAATCCAGGTCTCCTGCATTGGCAGGAGGATTCTTTACCACTGAGCTCGCAGGGAAGCCACAGGGGAGCAGGTACCCAGTTACTATGTTGCTGGGGGAGGCGGGGGCGGGAAAGATGAAGATGTGGTGGATGGAGCTCGGTACCCCGACAGCGCACTTTGTGGGCAGGAGTCATCTCCAAGGGGCAGCTCCGTCCTCCCTTCCTGGTGCTGGGGAAGGAACTGCAGGCACTACAGAAATTCCCTGGCCCTGGCCGCATGGCCCTGGGAAGTCCTTCCCTTCTCTGACCTCAGTCTTCCCAGCTGTTCAGTGAGGGGAGACTGGACCGCATCACCAAGGCTTTTCCAGAGCTGTTATTTTATGATTACACTGGGGGCAGGGTATGGGATGCCTCTGAGGATAGCAGGGTGCATCTCATGGGACAAGCCCGTCGGAGAGTAAATGCATAGGTGACAGGAATTACTTTCCACACAGCAGGCCTGTTACACATCACACAGAGGCCAGCGGGGTGTTGCCTCTGGAAGGAGGGAGGCGGGCCTGGGGGAGGTCTGGTGGGGTGGTCTACCGATGGGGGAGCCTGGCCTTGAGGCTTGCTCACAGCCTTCGCTCCAGCCTGGCTCACCACTGACCCGCGGGGGAAGGTACAGTTGCTGGGTGTCAGCTTTTATGCCTGCCATTGGCTGTGTTACTGATGCCCTTGCTGGCTCAAGGGAAGGTTGGTGAGGCTCAGAAGAGGACGCAGGCACGGGAGGATCCGATTCAGGAGAGACTGAGCGCCCGTTTTGTTCCAGGCATGCGATCATCTGGGTTTTAGGATAATCTGAGGAGGGTCTTTTATCCTTCATTTACTAAGGTAGAATCAGAGAGGTGCAGTGACTTGCCAAAGGTCACAGAGGATGTGGAGGAACTGATTCAGGCCTGTCTGACTGTGTAGCCCATGTTCCTAATCACTGTGCCCTGCTGCCTCCTCCCTGGAGGGCTTTCCCCTGGGGTGGGGAAGGGGCTGGGTCCAAGGATAGGTGTGACTTTCAATCTGGGGGCAAGTTCTGACTGACCCGTTAGGCTGCGTTGAGGATTCTGAAGCTGTCTGGACTTAGTGGGAAAGGGTGTGGGGATCCACTGTGATGTCAGCTGCAGAGTGGGAACAGGGAGAGGCAGACTGTGAGCTATACTTCATCCTTCCTGGGTCAGACCTTATTAGGGTCATTTTTAGGCCTGGGAACCTGGCTTCCATGATGACTTCCTGCCTCAAGTTCAGCACCGATAGGATCCAGAGGGCAGGAGTGGAAAGAGTGTTTCTGAAAGAGGGGATCGGCTGGGGCCAGGGCCAGGGCCCGAGGCTTGGCTGGGAGGGCAGCTCTGGGATTCCAGAGACTGTGTCCCAGCACCTTCCTGCCCTGACTGCAGGTGACCCACACTGACCCCTGCAGGCAGGAGTCAGCCTTGCAATGGGAAGCGAGGCCAGCACTAGGAGGCCTGGCGGCTCAGATGGTAAAGAATCGGCTTCTCGGGATGGGGAACACATGTAAATCCATGGCTGATTCATGTCAATGTATGGCAAAAACCGCTACAATACTGTAAAGTAATTAGCCTCCAACCAATAAAAATAAATGGGGGAAAAAAAAAGAATCGGCCTGCAATGCAGGAGATCTGGGTTCAGTCCCTGAGTCGGGAAGATCCCCTGGAGGAGGGCACGGCAACCCACTCCAGTATTCTTGCCTGGAGAATCCCCATGGACAGAGGAGCCTGGTGGGCTACAGTCCATGGGGTTGCAAACAGTCGGACACAGCTTAGCATGCATGCAGCGGTTATCTAGCCCAACACTCCTATTTTGCAAATGGAGAAACTAAGGACCAGAGTTCTTCCTCCACAGGTCCATGATGTACTCTTCTTTAAATTTGAAAAGTGTGGGATGGGCTGGGTTGGCAGAAAGTTTGCAGTTAAGCAGAAGGGGGTCAAAATCCTGCCCTTTTCCACACTGGCTAAGAAGTCACGCTTGGCCTCTGAACCTCACTTCCTCGCCTTTAATACAATAGGTCATCACAGCTGGGTGAGGATTAGCATCTCCGTGAATGGGGCCCTCTGGGGGTCAGGAAGCTGATAAGCACTTTACTGGCAGCATCTCAGGGAACCCCCCAGAGACGGACACCCACCCCACTTCCCAGGTGAGGACTGGGATGCAGAGGGTGGGGTTCCTCACCACAGGAAGTAGGTGGAGGAGCTGGGACCCGGCAGCCTGACCACATTGCTGGTGGGCAGTCCTGGTATGGCTGTGAGCATGTGCCAAAATTCCCCAAGAGTGTGAAAAGGCTCAGACTCCCAGCCCCTCCTCAGAGACTCTGACCCAGGGGCTCTGGGTGAGGCCTGAGATAGTGACAGGTTAACAAGCCCCCTCCCACACCTCCCCCGCCCCCACCATGTTTAAAGCTAACACAAGGGGTGTACAGACCTCGTTTTCAGAAACGCCGCACTGGCTGTGCTATCTACAACACTCCCTCCCCCCACCCCATGGAGAACCCAGACTTAGAAAGATAATAGATGGATGGACAATATGGATAGATGGATAATAATATGAAGACAAATCTACCAACAACAGGCCATATTTTGTATATAGCCCACTATGTGCCAGGCACTCTTTCAAACACTTTGCATATTGTAATTCTTTTAATCCCCACCACATGCCTGGGAGGTAGTGACTACTAACGTCCCCATTTCACAGACGAGGAAATGAGCTACCGAGAGCTTCAATAACTTGCCCTTGGCCCTACCTCTGGTGATAACTGGCTAGCCAAGTTAGTTACAATGGTGGTTATTGTTTTCTTGCCCTGCCGTCACCTGTGCCAGGCTCCCCTGGTGCTGGGGTGGGGGTTTCGGGGAGCGGCCAGGGAACCTGGAGGCAGGACAGGAAGGGGGTGTGTGTGTGTGTATAAGACCAGGGAGCCTGAGAGGCCGGGCGGCCCCAGGTCTGATTCAGAGATGGAGAGACTGGACACGGGCCTTGCCCTGAGCCCCAGCCAGGATTCTACATGAAATCTTAGCACTGAGCTCAGGGAGGGGGCCGGCCGGCAGAGTGTGAGGGACCCCACCTGGCTGGCGCAGCCTCCCTCCCCGCGTCCAGGGCATCTGCAGGACCCTCGGGGACTCCTACCTTCTTCCCCTGGGCAGCTCCCATGGCACAAAGCGGGCACCGGGCTTGGCTGGGCCCGGGGCCAGGCCGGGGGGTCCTCCCCTCGGTGTTATTTCAGGATCCGGGGCCCGAGGGGTGCCCTGGGCCAGGGGCCCCCGTCCTCCTGCGGCTCATTCTCCTCGGGCACAAAGGCGGCTTTCACGGCTGCTCCTAAGCCGGCTGCTCCTCAGACAGGCTTAGGGTGATTGATCCTGACGGAGGGGCCTGCTGTCCCCAGGCAGCCGCGGCCCTCCTGGGGTCCCGGTGGTTCCTCACCTCCCGCACTCCTGCCCCTCCCAGCGAGGAGCAGAGCAGTCCTCTCCCGCCCAGAGCAGGCAGCTGGGGAGAGGCAGGTGACCTCTGGCAGCCCGGAGGGCTGGGCTTGACCTCCAAGCCCAGACAGGCCCGGCAGAGATCGGGAGGGTCTGTGTGGGAATGTGACCCTCAGGCTGTTTCAGCCTGTTACGAACAGACCTGAGAAGGCACTCGGGGCTGGGGTTCTCTGGAGCAGAGATGCCCGGAGCGGAATGCTTCATTCACCGGAGCCGCAGTCCAAGCCGGGCGGCCGGTTTGGGCTCAGGCCAGGAAAATGTCTGGAGGCTGGATTCCAGGCTGGGGGCCAAGGCCTCGGTGTCGCCCGGCAGCCACCGTCCTCCTCATCTCCACCCCTCCCTGCTGCTTGTCGCCGGCCTGGGCGAGATTAGGGCTGGGGTCACCCTGGCCTGGAGTCCAGCGCTTTTCCTCACATGACGTGACCTCTGAGCCCTGGGTTGTTCACCTGTGTGTGTGGTGGTGGGGTGGTCAGATAACCACAGCTCACAGGGGGTGCTGCTCTGAGGGCTGGAAGGGGAGGTGTGTGCAGCTGGAGGCACTGTCCTGTTAAAGCTTAAATGTCATTCCCTGCTTCATAATCTTCCTCTTGACCAAACGGGGATGACAGTGGTCCCACATCCCACAGGGCTGTGGGGATGAAATGAGGTAATTCACACAAAGCTCTGACACAGGTTTTGACGACAGCAATTGTCCACGGAATTTAGATGCTGCTGTTATTCCGCTGTTACTAATATCGACCCGCTGCCCGCTGGCAAGTCCCAGGTAAGCAGTTTGATTCAGCACAGCATCCTTTCCCAAGAGCTGGCTGGGTGGGGAAACCCCGGTGGCCTTGCCTTTCCTCCGGCACAGAGCCTGGCACAGGGATGGGTTGTGACATGGATGACGAATGAAATGGTAGCTGGTGGTGAAGGGTGCGGGATTAGGTGCTCTAGGCCCGACTTTGCCCATAGAATGGAATCCCCCGTGTCCACAGGTCTGATTCAGCAAGACTTGCTTGCCTCTGAGACCTCACCTGCCGCACCCCTCCCCTCCCTGACAGTTCCTGCTCGGACGCCTTTTGTTCTCACCTCAGCACCTTTGCTCTTGCTGCCTGAAATGTTTCCCATCTCTCTCCCTTGAATTCATTTCTTTTGTTTTTAAAATCTTGGCACGATTCTTTACTCTCTATCTTTTAGGCTCAGTTATCCCTGCCTCAGAGAAGCTTTCCCAGACTTCCTGTGGCCTTCAGAGCTCTCTGTTTAGTATTTATTACAGCACTTGTCGGAAACTGCGTTTATTGCCTGTCATCCCTACCTGAATGGCGTCTCACGGAGGCTGGGACTGGTCTGTCTTCTCCCTCAGTTCACTCCCCTGCGTCTGGAATAGTGCTCGGCATGCCGCATTCACTGAGGACATATTGGTGGCTCCTCGGTCCGTGGGATCTTTCAGGCAACAATCCTGGAGTCGGTTTTCATTTCCTTATCCAGGGGATCTTCCTGACCCAGGGATTGAACCGGGGTCTCCCACATTGCAGGCAGACTCTTTACCATCTGAGCTACCAGGGAAGCCCATATATTGGTGGAGGGGATAAATAAATGATGCAGGATTCGATGAAAAGTCTTAAGTATGTAGAGTGCTTAACACGGCCCTAACTCATCGCAAGTGCTCCCTGCATGGCAATTATCAATACTGTTATTGTTGTTGCTGTATTTCCCCCAGCACCTCTGTCCCCTCCAGCCAAGCCAAAGTGTGGCTTCTTTCCTCTGCTGCTTCTCCTAGGTTCAGCTCCTGCCTTTTCTCCCTGTCCCAGTCATAGTAGGGGTACAGCTTCTGATTTCCCGCAGTAAGAACACCCACAAAACTGGAAAGAGCGGTGACTAGACTGGCCGTCAGCCACAGCAGTACAAGCGCCATCAGTCAGCCCTGAAGACCAAACTCTGTTGGCAGCCATCCCATAATTATCCACTGGCTTGGCTCTTGGTGAGATGGGAAGGGAGAAAAAGGAATTTTACACATTTATTAATTTTCCCCCACCTGTTTGGAGTCCTGCTGAAATAGGGCTTATGAGCCACACTGAAAGCTGGCTTGACCGGATGCCTCGATTGACTGGATGTCTGAAGCCTCGCTCCTGGCAGGACAGGGGTCTGAAAACCAGCCTTGGGACCTTGGGCAGGAGGAATGGGAGTGGTGGTCCCTGCAGGGGCAATGCTTGAAATACACAAGTGGTTTGTGGAACAACGGCTGGTGGTGGAGGGTCAGGACTAGCCAGATCCAGCTTGGCCTGGTCTCACCGTGTGGCCTGAGCACAATGCTTAGCTTCTTTCTTTATCCGAAAAAAGCAGATAAACATCTGCTCCTTCCTGGCCCACAGCCTTGTGGAAAGAAGCAAGGCCTGCGGTACGTGGCAGGGTTCTGAACAGAGGAGTTCCAGATCTCCCAAGCCCAGCCCCCTCCATCTCTCCCAAAGAATGATGGTAGATGCTGAGACCTTTGGCAATTTTCAGAAGTCCTCAGAGGCATGCAGGAGGAGGAGGAAGGGAGAGGGAGTCAAGATGGAAAGATAAAGGGGGATAGAAAATAGTAGTAGTTTCAGAGTAGTTTTAGGGCAAGTTTTTCTGAAAAAGTCTGTTTCCTGTAGTGATGGAGATAAACCGGGATGGCAATCTTTATTCTGAGGCTCTTGGCTGTGTGACTTTGGACAAGTTACTTGACCTCTCTGAGCCTCATTTTATGTATGCATAAAAGGAATAATAAGGATCCCCATCCCAGGTGGCTATGAGGATGAAATGAGGTAACTCATGTAAAATTCTGTGCAGCGCCCATTTGGATGACAGCCAAGTCTCCAGAGAAGTTAGGGACTGCTGTTGTGATGTGCCTCATAATAGTGGTGGTAAGTCCACTGCCCATTGGCAAGTCCCGGGGACCAGTCTATTAAGCACCAGCCTTTCCCAAGACCTGGGTGAACATACCATCCTTCCCTTTCTATCTTGGGCTGCCACCTACTGGTTAGGACCAGAATTAAAGCTAATGGAAAGACCTCGCTGTGACTTGGGGAACACCCACTCCGCTCATGGCCCCAGCCTCACTTCTGGCACTGGCACGCTGGTGGGAAGGATGAAGGGAAATGCAAGCCCCAGATTCTGAGGTCATGAGTTCCTTGCAGGGATTCCTGAAGGCTTGTCACCTCGATGATGAGAGAGTCAGTCCCTGAGTCTTGTCCATTTTATTTCCCGAATACCCCTGAGACTGGTCCCTTTCCCCCATCCTGTCTCTGGCCAGGCCACCACCCACTCTCCCCGGATGACACAGCAGCTTCCTCACTGACCCTCTTGCCTCCACTCCCTTCTCCATACAACAGCCAGCCAGGAGGAATGTCTTAAAAACTGCAAATCCGATCATGCCAGCCTCAGCTTAGATCTCTCAGTGTATGCCCACAGCTCCTGGGCAGAGTCTGAGAGCCTTCGCCAAGCCCACAAGGCCCCCTCGCCCCGTCCGCTCCGCGCTGGGCACCCTCTCTGTGCCCCTTGCGGGCGTCCTTTACACTCCTGCCTCGCCCGGCACACGCCGCTTTCCCCTCGTGGCCTGGTGAACTCGGCACGTTCCCAGGGCTCTCGGTGCGTGCTGCCTCCTCCAGGATGCCTTCCCTGACCCTACAGCTGTCCCCCGACATAGTCCTTATCGAGCTGCATTGCGTCTTCATCTGTGACCCTCCTGGACTACGAGCAGGAACGTGCCTCGTTCCCTTCATCGGGGTGTCCCCAGTAGACACCCAGTTTCTGACACATAGAAGGTGAGTGAGGGAGCTGACCCTCAGGGGGGCAGTAGACTCAGTGTTATAGACTCAGCTCTCGAGGTTTTTTGGATTCTCTATCCTGCCCCAATCTTGGCCTGACCCGGGGGTCCCTACAGTGACCACAGTGCCCTGAAGATGACGTGGGGAGTCTGATGGGTGGTCTGTGACGCCAGCCCCAGCGAGGCCCAGCGTGGCTTCAAGAAGTGGCGTTTAAGGGGAATCCGTGCAGACAGGGCGGTCTTGGCTCCTAGTCCAGGCCTGCGCGCAGCCCTACCCGCTGGCCATGCCCACCGCCTCTCCGGGGGGAGGGACCAAAGCCCCTCAGAAGCCGACTTTGGGATACGACTTCATGCCAGTGATTTATGAAGGACTGGAGGATGCAGGTAAGGGAGCGCGGGGGCAGGATGGGGAAGTGGAAGGAATGGGGCGAAGGGATGCTTTCTGGCAAAGTCCCAGCTTTAACTCGAGCCCACAGGGGACTCTGGGGGATGCGTGCATTACCCCTCGTGGCGGTCCCGCCCCAAGACCAGGGAGTCATCAGCTATGGACCAGCCCTGGCTCATGTGAACGCTGGCACTTCCTGGCCTCTCTTCTTTGCACTCAGGAGCAAAGGTTTGCGTAGCCCCGGGGCAGTTCTCTAAAGGAGAGTGCAGAGTGACCAGCCAGTCTGAGCACAAGCTGGGACAGGGGCTGGGTGGGTGGGGCACCAACCTTCTCGCTGTGCTGCCTCTCCAAGCTCCCCATCTCCAGGAGACCCTTCCTCAATTCTCTGATTCATCCTGTTGACGTTTTCTCAATCTTCTTTGAAGTGTTGTGCAAATGCAGCTTCTAGAAAAGTACCACAACCAGGTGGTCCTTTTTAAAGCGTGGCCCCTGCCGAGAACACTGCCTTCCTTCCTGGTTATAGCCTCACTTTAGCAGTCTTATTCGTCCTCGTTTAATTTTATGAGATATTTTTGCTTGTCTTAAAAAAAAAAAAATCCCCCAAAATACCATACATAAGAGTAGTGTATGGTAATAATGCAAACTGCCTGCACCTTCATCCCCAGAGGGGCTGTCTGGCCAGATGTTTCCCCAAACATCGTACATACATATGATCTTCTTTGACTTCTGGTGATATGGCTACTTTATCATATTTAGTGCCCACAAGCCCCTGAGAAACTGATGCCCTTTGCCCCCATTTCTCAAAGGAGAACTCTGGCCCAGAGGTGACATGACCTGCTCATCCAGATAGAGGGTGGCAGAGCCAGCATTCAGGGCTGGGCCTGGCCTCTCTGACCAGCCACACTGCCTGCGGCGGCTAACCACCCATTACGGTGAGTCAGCTAAGAGAGGCTGAGGGGCTTGGTCGGGGTACAGGGTCTTCAGAAGCACGCCCCCCACCCCCCTGCCCCAAGATTGACCCATTGGTCCTGGGGGATCAGGACGGAGGGGTACTGGGGGTGCAGGGGCAGCCCTCTGTCAGCATGTCAAGTGTGGGGAGAGGGCCTTCCACTTGGAACAAAAAGGGAGGAATGGGGCAAATTTGTTTGCTTGCCCCCATTGCTGCCAGCGTTATGTGGATGTGCAGGGGTCAGATGGGGCCCGCAAACTTCCCCTGAGAGTGAGCTGCCATGCCTGGGGAAGAGGCATGGGGCTGTGGCATCGGCAGGGTGGCCAGCCAGGCGCCTTCTGACTTCCTTAGCCAGGCCTGCTCACTGCCGTCTTAGCAGGCTCTGATCACTGATCTTGACCCCACGCAACTGCAGCCCCCGCCGCCGCCTGCCAAGGCCCTGGTGAAGGCTCCCAGACGCTGTCCTCCTCTACCCCAGGCCCTCTCGGCCCTTCTGAAGCCCCGTCTGTCCTCAGAGCCCGGTAACTGTGAGCCCCACACCCGTGGAGTGCACAGGACTTCAGCTTCTGCCGTCCCACCGCTCGGGGAGTCTGCACTTGGGGCCTGGGCGTCCTCTCCATGAGCCTTGCTCTCTCCCTGGTACACGCTCCAGGAGCCCAAGGGCCAGTGCTTTCTGCCTCCACGCCTCCTCCCAGGCTTTGGTCTGTCCCTCCCCGGCCCTTCTCAGAGACCCCAGGCAGGGTCTCACCACCATATCCCTTGGGCTTCTCCACTTCAGTGGCCTCCCGTGGTTGGTATTGACATCTCTTGGCTAAGGACTCTCTGCAAAGCCAAGATGGCTGCTCTCCCCCACGTAGGGCAGACTAGACTGTGCCTAGGACTTTGACAACACCGGCAGCCCACGGGAGCCGCTGTGTAAGCACCCCAGCTCCCTCACCTCTCCTGAGATCTCTGAGGTGCGTGCTGGAAGCCAATTCCTAGGGGTTCCCTTGGGATTAAGTTTCACCACCCACAGTGGCAGCTGAGTCGACAACACACCCCTGCTGGGCTGCCTTCTCTTCCCTGTCTTGCTTCCCTGCCCATTATGGGTGTTTTCCAGAGTCCCTTCCCAGATAAAAAACCTGTACTCGAAATCCCCACACGGAGACAGCCAGGATGTCTTCCCTGAAGCCTTCCAGTCTGGCTGTTCCTTCCAGCCTTTCTCAGATCTCCCCGCGTCCTCCCCCTCACCAGCTCTAGATTTTCTGCAGCTCTCATTCAAATAGCAGTGGAAGACCGTGTCCGCTGTGTCTGGCCCTCCGGCCCTCTCTGCTCCTGTGGGTCTTACACCTCATGCTGGGAACCAACAGTGCTTTCATATCTAAATGAGATCCCTATAAAACCAACCTCCTTTCCAGCTGCCTAACCAGGGGCTTGACACCATTGCTGACCTGTGGGAACACGGGGCTGAGCAAACCCTGTCTGGACCATTCCCACCCCCGGGGAAGCATTGCACAGCAAAGGGGTGGGAAATTTGGTTTGAAATCACCAAAAATAAAGTTTAATTGTGCTCAGGTGCAGGCAGTCAGTCCTGTCCTTCCCCCGGGAGCGACAGTCAGCGGTCCCCTAGGGAAAGCACACCTGTTCTCTCCACAGACAGCCGGCTCCGGAAGGACCAGTGGACGCTGGCCACTCCGGAGAGGATGCGTCTACCCAGGGAAGGTTTTGTTTCCAGCAGAGGGAGCCGGCAGAGTGCTGGAGCACGTCCCATGGCCGCTCCCACTTGTCTGCTGTCTGTCAGCTCCTGCCCGTCCGACTCGCAGTGATCCTGGGCTCCGATTCCCAGGTCAGGCAGGAGCAGCCTCGGGCCCCAGCCCAGGAAGGGCCGCAGCCACCCTATATCTTCCGGGGCACACAGCCCTCCAGCTCCAGCAGCTCTGGCCAGCCGTCGTATTTGTTTGTTTCTGGGTTGTTCTTTAAGAACTAGAGAGACAGAAGAGAGAGAGAGACTGACTGTGCTAGGACTCACGCCTGCATTTGCCTTGTGTTTTAAAACCTAAATGGCTTCATTTCATCCTCACTACTGCCCCATGGGGGGTGGGGGAGGGCGGGATATTTCTAGCCCATTTCACAAACAGGTTAACTGAGGCTGGTGGAGGACAACTTGCCCAAGGTTTCAGAGTCTAGTCACTGCTTGTCATGCCCTGGAGGGTGGGGGGGTGGGTGGGGGCGGGGCGGTGGCAACAAGCATTGGGGAAGTGGTGCTTGAAGAGCTTCAGCCCCGCCAGGACATCCCAAATGACAATAATAATAATTATAATAATAACAACTAACCCCTAACACAAACTTAGGGAAAATCTAAAAAGCAAACAAGGCAAATTCCCAAATTAAGTAAAATATATTTATATGATAGAATATATATTCATGCATTGTGAATAGATTTTTTTTTCATTTTTCTGCCTTTAATATTCTCATTATCAATAAATCAATACTGAATAAAAAATAATACTAACCAAAATTAAAATAACAACCACAAGAATAAAAAGAAGCAACTTAGCTGCAACTATTATATATAGGATGGATAAACAACAAGGTTCTACTCTATAGCACAGGGAACTATATTCAGTATTTTGTAATAAGCCATAATGGAAAAGCATATGAAAAATAATATATGTATATATGTGTAACTTTGATGAATCACTTTGATGTACAGTGGAAACTAACACAACATTGTAAATCTATTCTTCTAAAAAAAAAGAAGCATTCTAGTAATTCATGAATGCCTGTTCTATGTCAGGCAGAAAGCACTTAATGCAATTAATCCTCACAGTAACCTAAGAAGTGCCCACTGTTATCATCCCAGCTCACAGATGGGAAAACTGAGGCACAGAGGACCAAATTCACTGCCTATGGCTACCCAGCTAGCAAGTGGTGGAACCACTGTGTAGTATTAATTAATATTAAAAAGAAGTGTGTAAAGAGAATACATCAGTTAAGATTATGTTTAAAAATGAACCTACTTAGAGCATAGGGAGTTTTACTCAGTGCTCTGTGGGGACCTAAATGGAAAGGAAATCCAAAAGAGAGAGGATATATGTACACATATAGCTGAGTAACACAACACTGTAAGGCAATTATACTCCAATAAAAGTTTTTTTTAAAACAAGAGATTGTTTTTAAAATGCTCAGGCTTTTATCAAGCATAGTAGAAAAGCTTTTGTATACATACATACAAATAGACATTACTTTGCCAACAAAGGTCCTTCTAGTTAAGGCTATGGTTTTTCCAGTGGTATGGATGAGAGAGTTGGACTGTGAAGAAAGCTGAGCACTGGAAAATTGATGCTTTTGAACTGTGGTGTTGGAGAAGACTCTTGAGAGTCCCTTGGACTGCAAGGAGATCCAACCTGTCCATCCTAAAGGAGATCAGTCCTGGGCGTTCATTGGAAGGACAGATGCTGAAGCTGAAACTCCAATACTTTGGCCACCTCATGTGAAGAGCTGACTCATTGGAAAAGACCCTGATGCTGGGAGGGATTGGGGGCAGGAGGAGAAGGGGATGACAGAGGATGAGATGGCTGGATGGCATCACCGACTCGATGGGCATGAGTTTGAGTAAACTCTGGGAGTTGGTGACGGACAGGGAGGCCTGGCGTGCTGCGATTCATGGGGTTGCAAAGAGTCGGACACGACTGAGCGACTGAACTGACTGACTGACTGATACAAATAGTATGTATAATATACATATCTTAGAAAACTTAATGACTTTTTGCCTGACTAAAAAATTTATGATATTTTGACTATTTGTTTGACTTAGAATGCTAGATTTTTAATTAAAAAATAGGTATGCAACAAGCAACAAAGATTTACCATATAGCTCAGGGAACTATGGTCAGTATCTTATAATAACCTATAATGGAAAATAATCTGGAAAATAATATATGTGCATATGTATAACTGAATTGGCTTGCTGTACCTGGAACACTATACTTCAACAAAATATATATATTATGAAATTAAAAAATAAAAAACATAAAATGCTCAGGCTTAATTTGTGGAAGAAAGATGTAAATGATAAAAATCTCCCAGTGGGATAACTATGGCTAACTAACTTTTAGGAAGAAAAAATAAACTGTAGATGCGGCTTCTCCAAAACCCAGCTTTCCATGTGTGAGAACAAAGGACAGGATGCTTTTGGGGTCTTTGGTTCATATTTGGGTGTTGGGTTGCAGCGAACTGATCACAGAAACCAGGGAACAGGTGGTGCTGACTTGACTTCTGTGCTTCCCGTTTGCTGTAACTGGCCCAGTTTTGCTGGGTCTGGAATCTGCGCTTTAAGGAGGAACAGCGCCTCTCCAAGCCTCTTCCTAGGGAGTCCTGCCTCGGCGCCGCCCACCGGGGCACTCTGGCGCCCCTGCCCCCGGAGGGTGAAGCTACTTTAAACTATTCCTTCTTTTTTTAAATAAGTAATTTATGACTGCCTGAATACGTTCTCTTGGAAAGACACACACACAGACAGGCCAACATTTCCCAAGCCAGGCATGACCCCTAGCCGCCCACCTTGGCTCAGCCCTTTCCCCGCCCGCCTCCCGGGAGCTCCGCCCTGGGCAGCTCGACTCCGCCCCTTCTCTGCCGCCCGCAGCCCCGCCCGGTCCAGGCCTCCTTCCGACGCCTGCCGCTTCCACAGCGCTGTCTCTACACAGCCAGGGAGGCCGTTCTGAAAGTATCGGGACGGGAAGGCCTTGCGGAGGCCGCAGACCTGGATGAGACATGCGGCCCTATCACAGAGCAAGCCGGTTAAAACGTCTCCAAGGCTCTGGATCCCCGTCTGTGAGATGTGATGCATGATCACCGTCAGGCTATAAGACCCTGCAGGCCACTTGCTCAGCCGTGCCTGCACTGAGCAAGCACTTGCTGAATACTAGTCTTTCTTATTATCCGTCTGATCTGGTCACTCTCCCGCTTAACCTACCATGGCTCCCCGTTGCCTTCAGGCCAGCGTTTCCGCTCCTCAGTGCGCCCAGATGCCTGACCCTTGGCTTCCTGTCTTGGGTCCTGGCAAAGCTGAATGTTCTCACCACCAGAGACTGGCCAGCTTCATGCTGGGGAGGCCTGGCCAGTTCTCCTGGGTTTTGGAATTGCTCTGAGCTGGGGATGCACAGATGACTGCTTGGTGGGGACAAGCTGCAGCATTTCCTTGGGGTCCCCAACCCTCCACTGACTTCCCCTTCCTCCGGCGAGGGCACCTCAAGCCCCAGCCTGGGTGTCTCCCAGGTGCCCTCTGCTTGGGCCGCCCCCGGGTACTGACTGTGGAGCTCAGATCACGGGTCTGTCCTGACACCTCCACATACACACGCGGCGGCCTCCTTGTGTCCCCGTCTTTGTGCAAGCTCACCTTCTCCACAGGGAACTTAGAAGGGAACTGGGGCTCCCCTGCCAAACCTGCCCATGCACAGGTGGGGAGGAGGGGCTTGCAGTGGGGGTCAGAAGATACGCATCCACTCTCTGCTCTGGACTCCCCCTTGCCCCATCACGTCACACGAGCTTCATCTCCACATTCCTTCCCCTTTCCTCCATGCCTGAATTTCCTTTCATCTCCCCCCCCACCTCCTTTTTGGTACTTATCTACTTATCTATGTGTTTATACAGGACCCAGCTCCTTGCACAATGGCCAAGGCTGCTTCCTACTGGAGAAGGAGCCAGTCTGGCCACCCTGACCTCTGGGGTGGATGACAGCTGGGTGGCCCTCCTCACACTGACCCGTGTGCTCTTCGCCAGCCACCCCAGCCTTTGTCTGTCCGTCCCTGGCATCGTCCCCTTTACCCCCCACCCCCCCTTCACTGGGACAAGGAGGCTGCCAGGAACTCACCTGCTCAAAGGGGCTTTTACTCTTGAAGTTTTGGGCCCCTAAGAAGACCCAGCTGTCCCGGAAGCCCAGTTGCATCACGTGGGTGCTGCCCAAGTTGGAGAAGAGCTCCCTGATTTCTTTGTTCATCCTGCAGGGGACCAGAGAGGACGGTGAGGAGGGATGGGAGAAGGGGGAGCATCTCCTGGGCTCCCCTCCACCCCACCTCCAGTGTGGGTGGCAGTGAGGAGCTCTGAGTGGGGAGCAGCCAGGACACCCCTTCAAAAGCCACCCTGCAAGGCTGGAGAGGAGTTAAAATGGTCTGCTTTTGCTTACAAATATAATGCAGGTTCACTGGGAAATATGGAACTTCACAAAGTAACTAAAAATGATTTATAGTCTCACCTGCCCTTGACATAATCATTGTAAAATTTCATTATATCTCCTTCATGTTTTTTGCCTCATGCACTGTGGGATTATACCAACTCTTTCGTAACCTGATTTTTTAAAAATTAGTGCTAAAGAGTGAACATTCTTCCAGATCCTTAAATATTTTCTACATCATCATTTCTTTCTTTTTTAAAAATTTTTTTACATCATCATTTCTGATGCAGTATTTTCTCTTTTATGTCTATATAATAATACATTCTACGTTGCTATACATCATGATTTCTGTCACCAGTTGGCTATTACCAGACAGACAGGGTGGCCAGTTTTTTTTTTTTTAATTGATGTATTTTAATTGGCCGGTTTTTCACTGTTGTGACCACGACTGTCATGAATCCCCCAGAACATCCCTTTGTGCGCCTGTCTGGTTGGTTCCTTAGGAGAAGTTGCCAGAAGCTGGAGCCGCAGGATAGCAGGAGAGGGCTTGCATGCAGTAAGTGTCGGATTCACTCTTGCCCCTTGTCTGTGCGTCCCTGGCATCGTCAGGGACGGTGCAGGCAGAGGTTCCCACTTACTTGGTCCCTGGGTCATCGTAGGAGGCCACCAACACCAGCATCTGCTCCGAAATTTCTTTAAGGAATTTTGCCAGGAGGCTAGCATCTGGGGGGGAAACGAAAAACGAGGTGAAGGTCATTTAGGGGAAAGATGGCTGGCTATCCTCATCTTCTCCTCTAGCCCTAATGATCCTGGAGGGCCCGGGTGGCCGGACGCGGAGCCCCATCTGCAGAGAGTGAGGCACCCTCGTTCAGCTGGCCTGGGGCGGGCTCTGGATGTTGAGTGTTTCCCGAGCAATTCTGAGCTGCAGCTGAGGTAAGAGCCTTTGGCGGTCTACACCCCACCCCCTAGGGTCTGCGCACAGTCCTCTCCCAGGGCTCTGGGCTCTTTGCACACTGCCAGCTGCCGCCTTCTACATGTTTCAGATGCGCCCAGCTTGTCCGTGCTGACTTAGAGCGTGCACCTACTGGACAACTCCGGTCACAGAACAACTCTCCAGCTTAGGTCAAGCAGCACATCTCCCTTTGCATCTGCAAAGCATGCCTGCTCTTGCGAGATCTCTGGAATGAACAGAGAGCAGGTCTAGGCACAGCACCTGGGCAGGCATCAGCATGCAGTTTGCTTCAGTGACAGATAACTTTTTTCTGTTGTGCTTATGTTTATGGTCGCCTTCCCTGCATAAAAAATGATAATGGCTTTCAACTTAGGGCAGTGATATAATTTCCTTTTAAGATCTATTTATTTAGGTTAAAAAAAAAAGTGAGCTGATTTAAATGAACATACTGAGAATGCAAATAGTACTCTGGATACAGCGTCACTTATGCAGAGGGCTCTTGAATGGCAGAGGAAGTACAGGCAAGAGTGACCTGGTGCGCAAAGCCGGGGCTACATCTGTCAAATGAGGATGATTAATAGCCCTGCTCAGAGCACTTGTGTAAAGGTCAAAAGTGACGATGACTCTGGGCTTACAGTAAGTGCATTATAATAGAGTTACAATTACTAGCAGGATTGACTACATGATCTTTCGGGTCCAGTGCAAAATGAAAATGTGGATCTTTTGTTGAAAAAATTATTAATCATTTCAAGACAGTGAAGGCAGAGCATGGAATCAAGTTTTTTCTAAGCAAGAGGCCCTGTGTGACCGCCCTGCTCACAGGCTGCGTGCCCAGGAAGCTGCCCTGATTCTTATTAATTCTGTGGGGATCCCTTGAATTCAGAGGCAAAGTCAAGTCCCCCAAGCAAGTCCAGCTGCCAACTTGCTCTGTAACATGGAGGCCTCCAGTCAATGACCATGGCGGCCCTTCGACTCTGAGACAAAAGTGGGAGCTCTGAAAGAAACACTCATTTGTTTGAGCTGTCACCAGATATCAAAATCTGGCTCTTGTCTGGGAGGAACAGCAGATGTTTGGAAGAATGAAGTGTGCCTTCTGGTAACTATCTTCTCACTCTGAAAAGCCATCATATCTCTCTTTTTTTTTCTTTTGGTCTCCTGTGGGAAGGGGTGACTTGCTCTCAAAAGGCTTGTTTCTGGTTCCCCATCAGTTATGGTTCAGTTCAGTTTGGTCGCTCAGTTGTGTCCGACTCTTTGCGACCCCATGAACCGCAGCACACCAGGCCTCCCTGTCCATCACCAACTCCCGGAATTTACTCAAACCCATGTCCATTGAGTCGGTGATGCCATCTAACCATCTCATCCTCTGTCGTCCTCTTCTCTTCCTGCCCCCAATCCCTCCCAGCATTAGGGTCTTTTCAGATGAGTCAGCTCTTCGCATCAGGTGGCCAAAGTATTGGAGTTTCAGATTCAGCATTAATCCTTCCAATGAACACCCAGGACTGATCTCCTTTAGGATGGACTGGTTGGACCTCCTTGCAGTCCAAGGGACTCTCAAGAGTCTTCTCCAACACCACAGTTCAAAAGCATCAATTCTTTGCCGCTCGGCTTTCCTTATAGTCCACATCTCATATCCATACATGACTTAGGGTTACACCCATGTTTATAATAAGGCGCTAAACAACTTGGTTTATCCTTTCATTTTTCCCTCTCCATTCTGACATATGACTGTCTTGCTTCTGAATGACAGTGATGGGATGAGGGGGTTGGGGGTGAAGCCCCTCTGGGCCCCTCCCCCTGATTATTGCAGAGTATCATTTAATTCTCACATCCATCTCATGAAGTAGTCTCTATGGTGACCCCTATTTTTTAGATGACAAAACTGACGTTCAAGTGATGTCACCCGCCTCGGGTCTCACAGCCTGAAATCTCTGAATCCAGACCCTGGACCTTTTCCATAACCTGGCCCTGGCCACCCTGAATATCTGCAAGACTCTGGACAGAGAACAAAGGAAGGGCCCTGCCCTCAGTCTGCGGCCTGCCCCACGCTCTTCTCACCCGTCTCCCACTCCAGCCTGCACCAGGAGGCGCTTGGCATGCTTGCATATGGACAGCCCACCCTGCCTGCCCATGCTCTGAAACCGCCACCCTCCCCTCCAGCAGCCGTCACCCCGGGCCACCCTCAGTCTTACGGGCATGTCTGCAGCGTGGCGGCACGTGGAACGGGAGTGAATGGGCCCTGATGCGGGTTCCAGGGGGCACATCCTCTGGCCCTGCAGGCTCTATCTGTGAGGTGGGACTTGGCTGGAAGATGGCCATGGTGGGGAGCCTGGAGCCTATGGCATAGGTCCCCACGTCTGTCCCTAAGGATGCTGCCACTGGTCGCCTCTCAAACACCATCTGCCGTCACTTCTGGGCGTCAGACGTCCCCTTCCCACATTTCAGCCCCTGCTCTGCACGCAGAGCCCAGAGGCCTTCCTGCTCTCCCCCGCTTGGTGACGGCTCCCCTCTTGGGCTCATGTATTTAGGGGGGTGCAGCGAGGCAGGTTCTCCATGGAGATGGAGGCAGAGATGGGAGACTGAGGATAGAAGAAATCAGCTGACGAGAGCAGCAGGGCCTCCGCTCTGTGAGGAGCTTCCAGGCTGGGCGATCTTAGGCTCAGCGCGGTGATGCCTGAGCCGAGCTGGCCCTGTGATTGCGGGGACAGGGAGGGACAGGAGGCCGAGCTCAGTTCATCTGTCCTGGTAGAAACCAGTCCTCGTGGGGCCCAGATCTCTGCTGTCTGTAAGGAGCTATGCTGCGCACACGCGCCCTGACCTCCCACTGCCAGCACCAGCGTTTCTTGGCCTGAAGGTCTTCTCTGGCCTCCAGATCCTCCTTTGTGCCCTGAGGCAGGCCAGAAGTCTGAGAAGAACCAAGGAACAGGGGTAGGAGCAGCCCAGCTCTCTCGCCCCTCAGAGCATCTCTGAGGCACCAGCTCCCACAGTGGGCCCTGGCTGGATAACGCTGGTACTGGCTGTCCTTCCTTTCCCCGGCTCACTCCCCCACTCCCTACTGCCGCCCCGAGAGTACCTCCTCACTTCCTGGTCTTAGGATCTGCATCCAGGAGAGCCCAATGAGCCGTAGTAAGGGGTTGCATAGGCAGCGGAGTGGCCCTCCACGCACCCCCCCCAATCCCCGCCCTTTCTGCCGCTGCTGGTTGTGTCTCTGAAAATAGGAGCCCAGCTTCCTGGCACATGGGTGGCCTCCCTGCCACAGGCGGCAGCTCAGCCCACCCTCGACTTCGGGGCCAACAGAGGGGCCTACCTCCAGAGTACATGTCGAAACATTTCTGCTTCAGCACCACTCCCGTGGTTCCTAAGGGATAAGAGAGCAGAGTTATTTGCTGTAACGTGTCATTCTGCCTGTCATTGTGTGGAAAATGACTACTTTTTAGTCTCAGGTCTAAAAATAGGATAGAATAATAGTGGAACAAAATTAAGTCTTGCAGGAATGCATGCAGGATTAAATTAATGAAAGTGAAAGTCACTCAGTCGTGTCTGACTCTTTGTGACCCCATGGACTATATACAGTCCATGGAATTCGCAAGGCCAGAATACTGGAGTGGGTAGCCGTTTCCTTCTCCAGGGGATTTTGCCAACACAGGGATCCAACCCAGGTTCTCCCGCATCGCAAGGGGATTCTTCACGAGCTGAGCCACAAGGGAAGCCCAAGAATACTGGAGTGGGTAGCCTATCCCTTCTCCAGGGGATCTTCTTGACCCAGGAATTGAACCAGGGTCTCCTGCGTTGCAGGCGGATTCTTTACCAGTTGAGCTATGAGGGAAGCCCTAGGACTGAATTAGGTGCCCTGTAACCACTGGCTGATCGGAGAGGTAGGAGCACAGTGGTGACGGTCTCTGCAACTGAACCGAACCCAACTGATCTAGACTGACGTTCTGCCTTGCCACTTCCTAATGCAGGATTTAGCATTTGACCTGAATTTTTGCATTGGTACTGTGGGATGTGGGAACTAAATGAGATGTATTTAAAACATGAGCATGCAAGATAAATCTTACCTGCAAAAGGGTAACTAAGAAAATTCAGTCGTCGTCATTATTATTCTCATCTAAACTAGGAAGCCTTCAGTGTGAGTCCTCCGACTCTTGAAAGCACAGGGCTTTGCAGTGGGCTGACCTGTGCTCAGTGTCCCGAGTGCAGTGACCCAGATTGCCTTTGTGGGCTTTGCAAACGGTCCAAATTCTACAGGAAATCAGGTGTTCCGGAGGAACATGCAATTCTAACCTTTGGCCACTAGATGGGGATGTTGCAGAGGGGATGGCAGCTCTATCCTCCCCGTCGCTGCCCTCGCCCTCTAATTCTGTTTGCAGATTTGATAAGAGGGTGGCGACAGGGGCCTGAGTAGTGGCAGCTCTTCTGTCGGGTAGGGGCAGGCTCTCACTGTAGTTCCTCCTGAATTCTTGGAGCCACTAGTGTCCCAGTCCCTCTTGGCACTTCACCTGGGGCTCTTGGAAGGGAGTCTGTGAAATTGCTTTTGTGATCCTGTGCATTTATGAATTTTCCTGGAACTAGGGGAAGGAGGTGTAGCTTGGGTAGTTTCTCAAAGGAATCCCTGCCGTCTAAAAGAGAACCACTATCTTTAGCAATCCTTTGGTTGTCCTAGCTCGATGAGACCCCAGAGGCCCTGAGAATGGTGGGTCAGATTTTCCACAGCTGGCCGGCAGGGGGCGCTGCACACGTGCTTGGAGACATTTCTAGTCTGCTGCTGCTTCAGTCATGTCTGACTCTGTGCGACCCCATAGACGGCAGCCCACCAGGCTCCCCCGTCCCTGGGATTCTCCAGGCAAGAACACTGGAGTGGGTTGCCATTTCCTTCTCCAATGCATGAAAGTGAAAGTGAAGTCGCTCAGCCGTGTCTGACTCCTAGCGACCCCATGGACTGCAGCCCACCAGGCTCCTTTGTCCATGGGATTTTCCAGGCAAGAGTACTGGAGTGGTTTGCCATTGCCTTCTCCGCCATTTCTAGTCTAGGGGGCAGTTTTGCTGAGTGATTAAGACCTGGAGTCAGCCAGATCTGGGTTCAAATCTAGATGATTCTGTTGGCTGTGTATCCTATGTCTCTCTGAGCCCGTTTCTTACCTGCAGAATGGGGATGCTGAGCATAGCATTCCCTGTTAGCATTGAGAAGGTCAGTGACATAGCTGGAACACATTACACAGTAAGTGCTCCATAAATGTTAGTCCTAAGTGGAGAAGGAAATGGCAACCCAATCCAGTATTCTTGCCTAGAGAATCCCATGGACAGAGGGGCCTGGCAGGCTACAGTCTATGGTGTTGCAAGAGTCGAACACAACTGAGCGACTAAGCACACACAGTATATCAGTGGTTATTTTTATCTTTGGGCTTTGTGAGGGTTGGGGAGGGAGGCCCATCCCTCCTGAAACAAGTCTCTGTTTCAGGCTTGGCCTGCAGCTGGCTGCCTGTTCACCGCCTACTGGAGATGTTGGCCTCCCTGGGTCTCCCTGCTTCCAGCCTCCCTATTCCAAGCTGGAAGCAGGTTTCCGGAATGCAGGGCTGGGCCCTCAGGACCTGCTCAAAGCCTTTCCGAGACTCCCTAGTTCCCTCTGCTTCAGGTCCACATTTCTTAGTAGGACACTTAGCCCCTCATTCTCTGCCCCTGCCTCACCTGTCACCACGCTGCTTCCATGTTACAGCCACACAGAGCCTGTGTGGACCCCCGAGCCCCTCTCCTCCCTCCCCTGTTCCCTGCACAGTGATGTCATTGCCTGGAAGGTGCCTCCCTCTTTTCTCCTGGTCACTCACTCCCTCCTTCCCTTCAGGCCTCAGCTGACCATCACCTCCCTCTGGAAGCCTTCCCTGACTACCTCCGCTGCCAGCTCTGTGTCCCATTCCCAGAGCTGTGTTTCCTTTTCTTCCACAAATGCTCACCACCTTCTGATCATCTGTGAACCTCATAGACGTCCACATGTCAAGCCAGGGTCTGTCCTAGTTCACAGCTGACTCTCAGAACCCCATACATACAGGGGTTGGCCCACAGTAGCTGCCATCACTGTTTGCTGAATGAGTGAATGAAGGTGTGCACTCAGCTTGTGATTTCACATTGTCCTCTGTGGTTTCATGTGTGTTGATTTAAGCTGGGATGGCCTTGAGGATGGGGTCATGTTTCATAGGAGCAGTGTATCCTCCTGAGAAGCATATCCTTCCTAACAGAAGCAGAAGATATTAAGAGGTGCCAAGAATACACAGAAGAACTATACAAAAAAGATCTTTATGACCCAGATAATCATGATGGTGTGATCACTCACCTAGAGCCAGACATTCTGGAATGTGAAGTCAAGTGGACCTTAGGAAGCATCACTATGAACAAAGCTAGTGGAGGTGATGGAATTCCAGTTGAGCTATTTCAAATCCTGGAAGATGATGCTGTGAAAGTGTTGCACTCAATATGTCAGCAAATTTGGAAAACTCAGCAGTGGCCACAGGACTGGAAAAGGTCAGTTTTCTTTCCAGTACCAAAGAAAGGCAATGCCAAAGAATGCTCAAACTACCGCACAATTGCACTCATCTCACACGCTAGCAAAGTAATGCTCAAAATTCTCCAAGCCAGGCTTCAACAGTACGTGAACTGTGAACTTCCAGATATTCAAGCTGGATTTAGAAAAGGCAGAGGAATCAGAGATCAAATTGCGATCTGTTGGATCATCAAAAAAGCAAGAGAGTTCCAGAAAAACATCTATTTCTGCTTTATTGACTATGCCAAAGCCTTAGACTGTGTGGATCTCAACAAACTGTGGAAAATTCTTAAAGAGATGGGGATACCAGACCACCTGACCTGCCTCCTGAGAAATCTGGTCAAGAAGCAACAGTTAGAACTGGACATGGAACAACAGACCAGTTCCAAGTCGGGAAAGGAGTATGTCAAGGCTGTATACTGTCACCATGCCTATTTAACTTACATGCAGAGTACATCATGAGAAATGCTGGACTGGATGAAGCACAAGCTGGAATCAAGATTGCTGGGAGAAATATCAATAACCTCAGATATGCACATTGCCCTTATGGCAGAAAGCAAAGAACTGAAAGAGTTTCTTGATGAAAGTGAAAGAGGAGAGTGAAAAAGTTGGCTTAAAGCTCAACATTCAGAAAACGAAGATCATGGCATCTGGTCCCATCACTTCATGGCAAATAGATGGGGAAACAGTGGAAACAGTGACAGACTTTATTTTTTGGGCTCCAAAATTACTGCAGATGGTGACTGCAGCCATGAAATTAAAAGATGCTTGCTCCTTGGAAGAAAAGCTATGACCAACCTAGATAGCTTATTAAAAAGCAGAGACATTACTTTACCAACAAAGGCCTGTCTAGTCAAGGCTATGGTTTTTCCAGTGGTCATATATGGATGTGAGAGTTGGACTATAAAGAAAACTGAGCACTGAAGAATTGATGCTTTTTAACTGTGGTGTTGGAGAAGACTGTTGAGAGTCCCCTGGACTGCAAGGAAATCCAACCAGTCCATCCTAAAGGAAATCAGTCCTGAATATTCATTGGAAGGACCGATGTTGAGGCTAAAACTCCAATACTTTGGCCACCTGATGCGAAGAGCTGACTCATTTGAAAAGACCCTGATGTTAGGAAAGATTGAAGGCGAGAGGAGATGGTTGGATGGCATTACTGACTCAATGGACATGAGTTTGAGTAAACTCCAGGAATTGGTGCTGGGCAGGGAGGCCTGGCATGCTGCAGTCCATGGGGTTGCAAAGAGTTGGACACGACTGAGCGACTGAACTGAACTGATTCTCCCGAGACAGGTGCACAGGCAGGGGCCTGGCTGCGACTGCTGGGTAGACCCTGTCTGTTAGACCTGTTCCCACAGGCCAGCCAGGCTTAGGAGCATGCTGGAGGCTGTCCGGGAGCGGGTCAGCAACTCACCATCCACCAGGACGATGTTCAGGCCTCTGCCCACATTGTTTTTCACAGGACTCATGATCCTAAAGGAAAAAAAGAGAAACAAAACACGACCATTGGTCCTGAGTGTGGAGGGAGCACTATGTGTTTCAGACTCCGGAACTCTGTGAGGGCCCCCACAGTGCACTGCAGAAGTGTCAGAGAATACACAGAATCATGTGGGCCATCTGCTTTCTTCTGGAGATGAACAGTGGGCTGGATTCTCTGAGAGTCTCTCACGGCACGTTTGGACCAGAACAGTCTGCTCGGGGAACAGGGAGGGTCCCTGCCTGGGGCTGGGAGGTGTTGGGGGGCGGCCAGCCCGTCTCCCCAGGCCAGGAGGAGGGCAGAGTCCCCCATGTCTGGGGTCCCCAAGGGGAGCCCAGCTGTGTTCCTGCCGCCCAGTATCCTGTCCTCTGTGTCCTTGGGAAAACTGTCCTTCTCTGTCTCTGGCCAGGAGGTTCTCAGCACGGACCTCTCTCCCAGCATACAAGCGAGTATGCTGTGCCACTGATCACAGTGATTAGGCCAGCGTGGTCGTGTGACCTAGGCCAGCCAATGAGCCCCAGTCTCGGGGCTTTCACAGGGTTAATTCACATGGGGAAGCTCTTCCCAGTGGGGTGCTGTTCCGTCAACCCAGCTGGTAGCCGCCCTCCTTCACCACATGAAGAAGTACATTTTCAGTAGAGAAAACCGAATCCAGTGACAGAGGAAAGCAGAGCTGAAGGTGGTATGAGAGGGAGCCTTGATGGCTTGGTTTGAACCCCTGGATTCAGCTGCTTCTGATGGCCACTGTCTCTGGGCTTTTGGGCACACGAACCAGCAAATCTTGTTCTGCCTAAGCAATCTGGAGCTAGGGTCAGATTCCAGATTCCTGTCTCTGGCTTCTTTTGTAGGATGGACTTGCTGCCCCAGGCAGCAAGTTACTACCTAGAAACACAGTCTTTGTCCTGCACCTGGGCAGGAGCCCTGGGACTGCTGCCTCTGGGCTTTGATGCCTGGCCTTGAACTTGGACACTCCCCTAGGCACGCCCCTCACAGGAAGCCCAGCTGCTTGGCTGTCAGACAGACTGGCGTTCACATCTGGCTCTACCAATGGTTAGCTGAGTAACTCTGTCTAAGTCTTAGTTTCCTCATCTTTACAAAGGGGAGAATTATCGCCCACCTCTAGGAGTGCTGGACTGCAAGGGAGATGCTGCTGCAAGGCATCTAGGAAGGCGCTGGCAGATTTGCAAGCCATCAGGATTATTATTATGTCTGACTAACCCACCCAGAGTGAAAGGAAGTGTGTGGAAGGTGTGGGCTGGTCTCAGGGCCACCCTGAGGCCTCTGAACTTGCTGATGAATGAAGGCATGAAAGTAATGAAATGCCAGAAACTTACATTTGGTCCTCAAAGCACATGGTGGGGCCCACGACGTTGGCGGCCCCACTGACAATTTTAAACGCAAAGAAGTTGTCTTGGCAGGATTTGCTGAGGCCACACTTGGTCTTCACCAACTGTGAAGCTGGGGAGGGAACACAGCAGCTTTGGTGGTGGCAGGAGGCCCGGGGGGAGGAGGGGAGCTGGGGGTGGGGGTGGTGGGAGGATGGGGGACTGGGGGGTGGAGGGCGACTAAGGGCCTCTTCCCAGAGACATCTTCCCTGACTATCTAAGTCTAGGGACTTGCCCCTTTCTGGGCTCCCACAGTGTCTCTAACAACCCCATAAAGACCCAGGATACCATGTGTCTGACCACCCAGAGTTCATTTCCGGGCTTCCCACCCCAGCCTCAGCCCGGACACAATGCCTGGCTGTCTCCACGCCCCCGGCAGCTGTGTGTGGAACAGTGAGTGGTGGGTTAGTGACCAGAGTCTCCAGAGCAATGAAGGGATTCTCCTGAGAACCTCCTCTTGAGCCACAGCAGCCTTTTGAGCTCTCAGAGGCCCCTGTGGACAAGTCCCTGGGGGCCCAGCATGGCGGATGGGAGCATGTCCCACTAACCAGGTTTCCTTGAGCAAGTCCTCAGCCTCCTTTCACATCCAGTCCCTCAGCTGTGAAACGGGCTAATGCTGGTGCCTCTCTGCTGGGTCGTGTGTGGGATTAATAAGTGCAGGTTACTGTTCAGAGCTTACCGGCTGTTCTTATCACTCACTTACTGTGCACCTACTGTGTCTGGGACTCACAGGGACCAGGCAGGTGGTGCTGGGACCTCCTGCTGGGGCTTAGCATGGTCTCTGGAGCCCACTGAGGACTCAGCATGTGAGACCTCTGGGTTTTCGTGGCTGCTATGAAGCCCTATGTCCTCTCCATGTGGCCCTCCCCAGGCAGACCCTGTGAAAGGCAGGAGCGGCAGAAGGGTCCTCAGACATAGCCGCTGAGGTGTCACGGGTGCTCTCAGCCTGGCAGTTTCCAACTTGTGTTAATGCATGTTGTTTTTTTTTTTAACACCACCTAAGAGTTTGGAAGTTGCCCTTAGGAGGACTGACTAAACGGGGAGTTAGAGCGCCTTTACCTGCAGAGGGAGAGCTGTGACTGCGCGGCCTCGCTCTCTTCCAGCCCCTGTGCCAGGCATCCAGCTGAGCCATGCCAGATGCGCTTGGGGCAGACCCACAGGCTTCCTAATAGATGCAGCACATGCTAGGCCCTTGCTGTGTGCTAGGCACTGTGGCAAGCACTTTTTCTTTACTGTCTTGTTAAATCCTCCCCATAACTCCCAAGGCCGGCACACAGTAGGCACTCAATAAATCCTCACTGAATGAACACCTAGAGCATCTGGGTGGGTCTGAGTCCGAGCTGGGAGGGTGAGTAGGGTCTCCATGCCCTTGCCAGCCTAGAGGGGGGCTTCATGGGAATCAGAAACAAATGCCCCTCTGCCAAGCTCAGCAAGCCCCTGGTGCCTCTGAGTAGGTGAAGGCGCCCTTTCCTAGGAGTGAATGCTCCTGGCGGCGTGGGCGGCCCTGATGATCTGAGTGGAATGCCCATCCTAGGCTCTCATCCCTCCACCCTGAGTTCCCGCACATCCGCCTGATGGGTGTAACCAGAGCTCCAACCAGGACATCATCACCCGAGAGTGGGGACTGGGAGTGGAGATGCCCCTGAGGAGGTGTCCAGAGAGGGCCTGGGATGTGAACCGGATGTCTCTGCCCAGCCCTCTGGACAGAAGCCCTCACAAAAGCGCTGGTGGAGGGTGAGGCTGGGAGGGGTCCTCTTCTCCTATGATCCTTGGGGCCCCACCTCCAGCCACCTGCGCGCCCCCTACAGGGAACCCAGTTTACTTTAGGGTCTCATCTTGCTGGACGGCTGTTTCAGGCCTTGGGGACCACCCTGGAGTTGGCCTGGAGCCTGATCACCTGTGCTGAGTCTGACAAACCCAATGTCAACAGGCCAGCTTAGCAGGCTTTTCTCAAATTGATTTTCTGACCATCCAGGCTTCATGGTCAAGCTACTGGATGTGGGAGAGGAGGCCCACAGGTCTTAGCCACTGGGAGGCAGGTGATTTGCTGTGTGGGTTTGGGTTCTGGGGGCTTCCTGAGCTGTCCCACCCCTCTGGGAAGCCCACTGCAATTGTTCAGGGCATGCAGCAGACCACTGGAGGGGTCCGGTCAGGGGGAACCTGGGCCAATTTCAGGAATCTGCTGTGTGACTTGCCATAAATCTCTCCCTTTTGCTTTGCCAACTATAAAAGGAGGGGATTGGTTTAGATCAGGAATGGAGAGGGGGACCCGGAGGTGCTGTCTCTTGCTAAGGTGTGTTGAGAGGGTGGGCTCTGGACTACAAGGGGAGGTTGACTCCCACTCTGCCACTTAGAGCCATGTTGCCTTGGCCAGGAGGTTTCACCTCTCTGAGCCTCAGTTTCCTCATCTGTAAAATGGGGATATGTACAGCACCTAGGGTGGTGGTGAGGATTGCAGAAGATGCCCATAAAGTTCGGAATACAGTGCTGGCACACACTCAGTCACTGTCACGATTATCATCACCATAACTGTCCCCTCCTCCTATCTTCTCTGCACCTCTGGAGCTGGGTCATTGTGAAATGCTGCTCCGACACCCAGCATCCTGCCCTCCCACTGTTCTCTCCATTCCCACACTCACGTACCTGACTCTGCAAGCAAGTTCTCTACTGGAGTCCCAGCACTCCTGTCCCTAGGCCTTTGTACAGCATGTTACCTCCTGTGCAAGGAACAGCTAAAAAGCCACCTCCTCCTTGAGGCCTTCCCAGACCCCATCCCACGGGAAGTGGGCGGCCCTCCTGGAGCCCTGGGCACTTGCCCCACCTCTCTCGGCACACACGGTTCTTCTACCCAAAAAAGAAAATCAGCAACCCCTTCTGATTGCCGCTGGGGCCACTGTGGTGCCCAGCAGGGCCCTGGTACTCTGAAGCGGGAGCCATAAGCCAATTCTGGGGTCATTGCAATGAGGGTAATAAGCACAGCCTGCATCCTTGGAGCTTTCAGCCAGGTAGGGGATGAGAGAGGGGAGGCAGGGTGGCTGCAGTCCATACTGCGGGCTGGGGGCACCAGGAAAGGGAGAGAGTTGAAGCTTCCCTAGGAGTCTGAATGGCTGAGAAGGGGCCACAGGGCTTGGGGGCTTCACAAGGCACTATCAGGCCAAGGAGTGAGAGTTGGGTGGGCTCTGGGAACCCAGGCTTCTCTCAAAGCTTCAGGGCTGGGAGTAGACACCCTGGAACACCTCACTAAAAGGGCAACAGGGCGGAGTTGACACTCACAGTTCTTGTGGGCTGAACCTGTTAGAGAGAAGACAGAATCTGGTGAGAAAGTGTTTTGAGCTTGCCCGCATGATGGAGGTGGGTCCTGGGAGGGGGTGGGGGGAAGAAGGGATATCAGAGTGGTGCTGGCCTGGCCAAGCACAGTGCCCCTCCCGTGGCAAGGGGGTGAAATGAGCTGAAAGCCCTATTTTATCTGGGAGCCCTTCTGCACTTGCTGCTGCCACCTCTTCACACACACACACACACACACGACTCTGTCACGGTTGAAAAGAAGGAAGCCTCTGTGGTGAGGCCCACTGGACTTGGCGCCTGATGGTGTGGGAGTTTTCCCTCTGGGGCTGAGCCTCTGCACCCGCACAGTGGGGGCGCCGCACCCACCCTCACTGGCTGTGGGGAAGGCCCAGGAGGGGAGCCCTGAGGGCCTGGCTGGGTGCCTGGAACCCCGGCCTCCGGGAGGGACAGGACTGTGCTGCTGCCCCTGTCGACCTGCCCTGCGCGTCCCTTCCCGACTCCTGCAGCCCCGCCTGCCTGCCCTGGGCTGCTCATCTCACTACACTGTGTGGTTATTCCTGCGCTTCTACGTTGGCTCTCCCGCCGGCCTGGCTCTGAGCCCTAGAGGATAGGGCTCCCAGTGGACAGAGAAGTGTCAGTGCAGCAGGAGGAGCTCTCCTTCCCTGGGGGACACCCTCACTGACACATTTTCCATTCGGTCCTCAGGAGGCTGCCCCCTCCCCACCTCCCCCGCCTCCGAGGCCCAGGAGTATCCCGTGCCCTGGCTGGGCCAGCCACAACATCATATCCCCCTGGATGCCGAGCCCTTCTCAGGTTTATATGTGGCTCCGGGGGAGAGAGCTGAAGGGTGAGCAACTGGGGAGCTGGTGGCCAACTCACCTGTTGGGAGAGAAAGCTGCCCATGGAATGAGGTTCAACAGCAATGAGCAGAGCCCAGGGCACAGAGATTGACTCCGGGGCCTCTGTGGGAGCCCCTAGATCCAGCCACACCTGAAATCCGACACCTTGGGCTTCCCGATGCCCCACGAAATGACACCCCCCTTCGTTTAAACCACTTACAGTGGGGTTCATCACTCTCATATGAAAGAAACTTGCCCAGTTTATCAGCCAAATCAGGAAATCTTTAATCACCCAATTTCTGTCCCACAGACCCCTTTGGTGATCTGGAAGAGCCTATGAACTCCCCTACAAATAAATTTATTCCCACTTTTTTTTGAGACACTCAGTGCTTCTTACTCTACCAGGCGGCAAGTTATTAAATGTGTAAAATAAAATAGATTGGATTAAAAAGGAAGATATATATATCTTCCAAGATATTATCTATATACCAAGATAATAACAAAAACAGTAGGAAATGTGGTGCTACAGTAAGATATGTGCTTCCATATTAATGCATTAAACCACTGTACATGTTTTGCAAGACTCAAGTCATGTTAATATACTTCCATTTTTCTATATTCTCTAATGAATTGTGTTTGTATCCCCCGTTCAAACCCTGAGCTGGAACCACATTCTGGGGTGCTCCTCATTCCAAGGTCTTGGGGACCTACCACAGAGCAGTTGTGTGTTGAGCCTTGGGGGGAGGGTGTTGATTTGTCACACCCCGGGTGGCTGAGTTCTGAGAGGGAGACTACCCTGGGGGCTCCCTTCAAACACTCCCCTCCTACCCCAAGCTGGGGCTGTCTTCTCCATAACTCACTCCTGCTCTGAGCTGCCTGCACTGATCTGGGTGCATCTACTCCAAGGCCAGAAGCATGGCCAAGTCAGTCTCTGGTCTGTGAAAGTGGTGCCCAGGGCCCACGGACCTGGTGGTCACCACGTCTATATAAACCATCCTGAGCTAGTGTGGGGCATGCCGGACAAGAAGCGGAAGGGGGAAGGGCCCTCTGAGAGTCCACTGTGGGAAGCTGGTGGTAAAGGCAGGGTGCGTGTTCCCTCACTGCTGTGAAGGCGTGATCTGGCCAGGGCCACTAGAGGTTATTATGTTTGACTACTCAATGCAGGTGGTTCTTGGTCTTTAAGGAGGCCAAATCCGGAGGCATAAATTTCTCTCCCTTTCTCTCCTTCCTTTGAAAGGATTTAAATCTGGGAGACCTGGGTTCCCAGTCCTGTTCTGATATCTACAAAGGACATTTTGGGAAGTTTCTTACTCTCTCAGAGCTTCTCTTTTTCTCAGACCACACATAAAATGACAACATGAGGTCATACTTGAGTCCACTCCACAAATGCACTGTGAATCATTCCATGGGGCATTCATGCAGGTCCAGTGAGCCCAGGCATGGAAAGCTGCGAGCAACCATCACCCATCCATCATTCATCCATCCATCCATCCATCCATCCATCCATATTTCTTTCACTTATCAAATGTTCACTGAGCATCTGGTCTGAGTGAGGTGTTAGAGAGACAGATATACCCAAGACAAAACTCTGGCCTTCAGGAAGCTCACATTGCATGAGCTGGAGATAGGTAATGATGAAGTAAACAAACAAAGAAACAGCACCATGATGGATAATAATGATGGTCTGAAGGGGACAGGCTGACGTGAAAGACTCTACAGGAGGAGGAGCAGGAGCAGGAGCAGTCAGGAAGGTTTCTCTGAGGAGGAAATGTTTGGAGCAGAGGCCCGAGGCTGAGAGGAGCCGCCACAGGATGGTCTGAGCAAAGAGGAACAGCAAGTGCAGACGGAAGGCGCTCAGGGCACAGGCGGCTTTCTCCCCCCACTCTGTCCCTCCCTCTTTCTCTTCCTCCCTCTGTCCTTCCTTCTTGGGTCACATTTCCAAAGTGGTCCTTGATGCAGGCGCATGTTCTGACCGGGCATTGGAACACGTCTCTGTTCTCCGTGGCTTCTCAGCCTTCCTGACGTTGGATGGGGGGTGAGGTTTCCTCCCCCCCGACCCTGAATGTGTGGGGCCCCAAGGGCAGCCCTGTGCCACGCAGATCCTTGACCCCGGGCCCTGGTTCTTGCCCCAGTAGCGAGCCCCACTCACCCATCCAGCGGGGCAGGCGGAGGGTTTTCATGTTGAAGTCGATATATTCGCGGATGAAAAGCCACGTGGTAACCACGGCAAAGATTACGGCCAGGAGGCGAAGCACACCTGCAGAGCAAGGAGACGCTGCCTTGAGACCACAGCGCTGGGCCACATGGCCGGCCTCACGGCAAGACTACACGGGGGTCCTTCTCGAATCCCCTCAGTGAGGCCTCTTCCCGAGATCCCATGTTGGAGGGAGGGTCACAAGGATTAATGTATTGATAGTCTATCTTTTTCCTGGATGCAAATTTGCTGGGGAATTTTGTGAGCACAGCACTTCACAGGGGTTAATCGGAAGAAAAAAAAAGAAAGCTAGGCGCCTCGGAAATGAACTTCACCAACTTCATATCTGAATGCACGGATGAGAGGAAGAGTTAATCCTGGGTGTCACTCATGGTTGAACCTTATTTTATCTGAAGGTCCTGTGAAAATGGAGCAGCTCCCCCGTAGCCTGCCCACACCACGGACCAGTCCACGGCCTGCATGGCAAGACCGGTGTGCAGGAGAGGCAGGAAGGCTCGGAGTGGCCACCCACTGCTGTGTGACCCCGGGCAGGGGCTCAGCACCTCTGAGCTGAAGCCGCTCAGTCACAGAGTAGACAGAGTGACGTGCCTGCTGCTAGGCCCGTGGATGGTGGGGAAAGATGTGGTAGTTGTCACCACTAGGCGGCCTCAAGGGTGGCTTTGCAGGGGGTGGGGTTGGCCCCTTGTGTTTTCCATCAACTCCCCCCAAAAGCCACCACAAACAACACACGGCGCTCTCTGCAGGAGCGCACACCCGCCTGCCCGATGTGGGCTCTCCGCCTCACAGTCAGATTGCTCCCTGTCTTCTCTCCCACACACGTGAGCCGGGCCCCCAGAGCTCACTGTCTGCTCCCTCTCCTGGTAATTCTGTCGGGGCTGCAGCAGGCCGCACCACACCTCCCACCTCAAGGACTCTGGAGACCCCCATTCTGCCTTGAGAGTCAAGTCCAACCTCCAGGCAAGTTCCCTTGCTCCATGCCTGACCTGCCCCTCTGTCTACGGCCACAGCGCTCTGAAGGTGCCGGATCTCGTCTGACCTCTCTGTCTGCACCGCCCTTGCTCTTCAGCCCTGAATTCAGCTGTGGCTTCGTGCTGGTCTCAAGCTACTTGGGGCAGGGGAGAAGGCCCTTTGGATCCCGTGGGGTGGGCTCCGGTCTGCGGGGCCCCTCATCTTACAGGGCCTCAGTGCGCATCAGTCAGCACTCCTTTTGTTTCAGGGACTAGGCAAGCGGCATTGAGACATGTTGTCTCAGTTCCCTCTGTTGTAGCTACTGGTTATCCCCGCTGTCAGATAAGGAAACTGAACCTCAGAGACCTGGTCACTGGCTAGTAAGTGACAGGAGGTGGGACCTGAACCTGCCTATAAAACCCGTGCTCTTCAGTTCAGTTCAGTTCAGTTCAGTTCAGTTCAGTCGCTCAGTCGTGTCTGACTCTGTGACCCCATGAATCGCAGCACGCCAGGCCTCCCTGTCCATCACCAACTCCGAGTTTACAGTTTACTCAAACTCATGCCCATCGAGTTGGTGATGCCATCCAGCCATCTCATCCTCTGTCATCCCCTTCTCCTCCTGCCCCCAATCCCTCCCAGCATCAGGGTCTTTTCCAATGAGTCAACTCTTCACATCAGTTGGCCAAAGTATTGGAGTTTCAGCTTCAGCATCAGTCCTTCCAATGAACACCCATGCTCTTCAGGGACCTATATTCAATGTCCTTTAATAAACCATAATGGAAATGAATATAGAAAATAATGCATGTGTATATGTGTATAACTGAATCACTATGGTGTACAACAGAAATTAACACAATATTGTAAATCAACTATACTTTAACAGGGCTTCCCTGGTGGCTTAGATGGCAAAGAATCTGCCAGCAATACAGGAGACTGGGGTTCAATCCCTGGGTTGGGAAGATCCCCTGGAGAATGGAATAGCAACCCATTCCAGCATTCTTGCCTGGAAAATCCCAAGGACGAGGAGCCTGGCAGGCTACATACAGTCCATGGGCACAACTGAGTGACTAACACACCCTTCAATAAAAATAAATAAAAGTTGTGCTGCGAACTTCCTCACTGGTGTTTGAAAATACAAATGAATTGTGTCGGTTTCCTGTTTGGTGCCTCAGTTCCTCTATCTCTACACAGAGGGTACAGTCTGAGGATGGAAGCTTGGAGCAAAGGCCTCTCCTGGTGCTCAGCCCTGTGGTTTCAGGATTCTAGAATAGCCCTCTACAAATGTTTTGTCTGTACAGACATTTACAAATGTTTTGTCTGTAATTTCCAGCCAGGGTGAAGTGTTTCCCAGAGCGGGTGAGTCTCCATGTTCCCAGCCAGGTGGGCCAGTTTCTGCAACCCTTAGCCTCGAGGCAGGAAGTCCCCTCCTTACACTCTTCCAGGCCCTCCCTGGGTTGGTTTTTCCCTGGAATTCTGGCCTGACCAGCTGAGAACAGATGAAGCCAAGTGGGCTGTGAGTCCAGGATGGGCAGACACTGCTGACAGAAAAGCGATTCCCAAACCTGATTCAGACCTCAACCTTGAACCCTGGAGTCCTCAGAGCCTGGCCTTACCTGACATTCTCATCCTGAGGAGGTGAAGAGTGGCTGGGCGTCAGGGTCAGTCTGTGGAGAGAAGAAAATAAGATTGGAAACTGGCATCCAGAGTGTGAAAGTGAACAAGACTGAAGATGAGGGTTAGGTTCCTAAAACCCAGCGCATCGTAGTTCTTCTGGTTTGGTGCCGTCTGTTCCCTCTCTGCCTTTACCGCCTCTTCGCTTTTGCCCCTGGAATTTCATATTCAATTCAACATGCCTTTCTGGAATGCAGAGACTAGGACACAGAGGAAGATGCAGTCTGCTAGCCATCATCCTTTGGAGGCTTGATTCATCCATGCATCTACCCATCCATTTGTCCATCCATCCATTTATATATCCATCCATCCTTCCAACCATCCATCCAACCATTTGTCTCTCTGTCCATTCATTTGTACATCCATTCATCCTTTCATCCATCCATTATTCTGTCCCTCCAGCCAGCTGAGAGATATTGAGCTAGCCATCCCCAGTGAAACCATTAGGAAGCAGAAGCTCAAGTGATCTTTGCTGATGGGCCAACATTATGAGTAACAGGGACTTACATAGCACACAGGTGAGTTTGCTCCGGGTACCATATGTACATCATCTTCTTTAATCCTCATACCCACCCCACCTCCCTTCCCCCACCCCCCCATGCCTCCACACTCCGGCTTTCGGGGTAAGCCCAGGGCCGTTCAGCGTGCCAGGGTCAGGGCGGAATCTGGATCCAGGTCTCAGCTGCCTCATTCCCATGATGTCACCCAGTCAGTGAAGTCTCAGAGGAGAGATGAAGCTGAAGTTTCCTCCCTTCCTGAGTCCTAGGCAGGGGCAGGGTCATCCTCGGTCCCACCTAGCCCCTCTGCCGCCCCCAGCTACCGGTAGTTACCAGGGATTTGACAATGCTGAGACCCCTTAGGAGGTGTCTGGAGACGAGGAAGAGGGGAGAGCAAGGCAGGTGCTAACTGTTCCGGGTCTCAGAAGCCCCCAGCCATCTGGAGGGTCTCTGACTGCAGTGACTTGCTCCCACCACTCTTCCTGCCTCCTCCCCACCGCAGCATCCTCTTTATCCTAAGAATTCATTTCAACAGGCTCTGTATCCAAAGCCCAGCTGCCAAGGATCCAGACAGGAGACAGAAGACCTGGACAATACCTGGTACCGAGGCAGTCAGGTTGGGTCAGTCCTTGTTATTTCATCAATGGCAACAGAAAATGCAGCCCATATTTCCTTTAGAGAATAATGAAAAATCCTCCCACCCACCCTGGCCCTCTACCCTTCTAAGACCTTCCAGGTGAGAAAGCTGAGCTATCACCTGGCCTCACCCACAGCAATTTTGTAGGACTTTAAATTTCTGAAATTTGTATTACCAAGCTTTTTTTTTAGTTACAAAAATATATTGCTTTTTAAGCTATATATGACAAACCCACAGCAAGCATTACACTCAATGGTGAAAAATTGAAAGCATTTCCCCTGAAATCAGGAACAAGACAAGGGTGCCCACTCTCACCACTACTATTCAACATAGTTTTGGAAGTTTTGGCCACAGCAATCAGAGCAGAAAAAGAAGTAAAAGGAATCCAGATAGGAAAAGAAGAAGTGAAACTCTCACTGTTCGCAGATGACATGATCCTCTACATAGAAAACCCTAAAGACTCTACCAGAAAATTACTAGAGCTAATCAATGAATATAGTAAAGTTGCAGGATATAAAATTAACACACAGAAATCCCTTGCATTCCTATGCACTAACAATGAGAAAACAGAAAGAGAAATTAAGGAAACAATACCATTCACCATTGCAACAAAAAGAATAAAATACTTAGGAGTATATCTACCTAAAGAAACAAAAGACCTATACATAGAAAACTATAAAACACTGATGAAAGAAATCAAAGAGGACACAAACAGATGGAGAAATATACCGTGTTCATGGATTGGAAGAATCAATATTGTCAAAATGGCTGTACTACCCAAAGCAATATATAGATTCAATGCAATCCTTATCAAGCTACCAATGGTATTTTTCACAGAACTTGAACAAATAATTTCACAATTTGTATGGAAATACAAAAAACCTCAAATAGCTAAAGTAATCTTGAGAAAGAAGAATGGAACTGGAGGAATCAACCTGCCTGACTTCAGGCTCTACTACAAAGCCACAGTCATCAAGACAGTATGGTACTGGCACAAAGACAGAAATATAGATCAATGGAACAGAATAGAAAGCCCAGAGATAAATCCACGAACCTATGGACACCTTATCTTTGACAAAGGAGGCAAGAATATCCAATGGAAAAAGACAACCTCTTTAACAAGTGGTGCTGGGAAAACTGGTCAACCACTTGTAAAAGAATGAAACTAGAACACATTCTAACACCATACACAAAAACAAACTCAAAATGGATTAAAGATCTAAATGTAAGAGCAGAAACTATAAAACTCCTAGAGGAGAACATAGGCAAAACACTCTCTGACATAAATCACAGCAGGATCCTCTATGACCCACCTTCCAGAATATTGGAAATAAAAGCAAAAATAAACAAATGGGACCTAATGAAACTTAAAAGCTTTTGCACAACAAAGGAAACTATAAGCAAGGTGAAAAGACAACCCTCAGATTGGGAGAAAATAATAGCAAACGAAGCAACAGACAAATGATTAATCTCAAAAATATACAAGCAACTCCTCCAGCTCAATTCCAGAAAAATAAATGACCCAATCAAAAAATGGGCCAAGGAACTAAACAGACATTTCTCCAAAGAAGACATACAGATGGCTAACAAACACATGAAAAGATGCTCAACATCACTCATTATCAGAGAAATGCAAATCAAAACCACAATGAGGTACCATTACACACCAGTCAGGATGGCTGCTATCCAAAAGTCTACAAGCAATAAATGCTGGAGAGGGTGTGGAGAAAAGGGAACCCTCTTACACTGTTGGTGGCAATGCAAACTAGTACAGCCGCTATGGAGGACAGTGTGGAGACTTCTTAAAAAACTGGAATTAGAACTGCCATATGACCCAGCAATCCCACTTCTGGGCATACACACTGAGGAAACCAGATCTGAAAGAGTCACGTGCACCCCAGTGTTCATCGCAGCACTGTTTATAATAGCCAGGACATGGACGCAACCTAGATGCCCATCAGCAGATGAATGGATAAGGAAGCTGTGGTACATAGACACCATGGAATATTACTCAGCCATTAAAAATAATTCATTTGAATCAGTTCTAATGAGATGGATGAAACTGGAGCCCATTATACAGAGTGAAGTAAGCCAGAAATATAAAGACCAATACAGTATACTAATGCATATATATGGAATTTAGAAGGATGGTAACGATAACCCTATATGCAAAACAGAAAAAGAGACACAGATGTACAGAACGGAGTTTTGGACTCTGTGGGAGAAGGCGAGGGTGGGATGTTTTAAGAGAACAGCATCGAAACATGTATATTATCTAGGGTGAAACAGATTACCAGCCCAGGCTGGATGCATGAGACAAGTGCTCTGGCCTGGTGCACTAGGAAGACCCAGAGGAATCAGGTGGAGAGGGAGGTGGGAGGGGGGATCGGGATGGGGAATACATGTAAATCCATGGCTGATTCATGTCAATGTATGACAAAAACCACTACAATATTGTAAAGTAATTAGCCTCCAACTAATAAAAATAAATGAAAAAAATATATACATTGCTTTAAAAAAAATTAAATAAATAAATAAATTTTTGGCTGTGCCGGCTCTTTGCTACGCGGGCTTTTCTTTAGTTGCGGCGAGTGGGAGCCGCTCTCTAGTTGCGGTGCTCCGCCTTCTCATTGCAGTGGCTTCTGTTGTTGATGAGCACGGGCTCTAGGGTGCACGGGCTTCAGCAGTTGCAGCTCTCAGGCTCTAGAGCACCAGTTCAATAGTTGTGGCCCAAGGGCTTAGTTGCTTCGTGCCATGTGGGATCTTCCCAGATCAGGACTGAACCTGTGTCTCCTGCCTTGGCAAGTGAATTCTTAACCACGGAGCCACCAGGGAAGCCGTACTGTGCTCTTGAATGTTCTCAGAATATTTCCTACAGAAAGCAGCCCAGGCTCCTGGATGAGGCTTAAAGGACATTCTGTGGGGTCCCCCGTGTGTGGAGGAGCCAAGAGACCTGGGGGCCAGACAAGATGGAAGGACAGTGACGGGGTCTGACAGACGAAGGGGCAGACATGGATATTGATGGAGATAGAGACTAGAGAGACAAAAACAAGGACCAGAGGGAGAGGAACATGGCAGAGATACAGAGAAGAGAAAGAAGACAGTGCAGAGAGACAGGAACAGGATGAGAGAGAGAGAGGATAAGTCCTCATGACCGGCGTATGCCCAGCTTCAGAGGGAGCGAGTGAGATAGGCAGAGGGCAGGGGGCATGTACCTGGGCGGGGGCTAGCCTCTCCCTCTGGTGCCCACGCCGAGCAGGGCTCTGGCTTTAGGGTTGGGGGCGGCGAGGGCTCTCCCAGCCTGATGTCCCTCCTGGCCAAGTCCCTGGTGACCCACTCAGCCCTTCAGAGCTTGCTGGGCTCCAGCCAGCAGTGGCGGGGGGTGGGAGGGTCTGGAGCCCAGGTCAGGCCTGCTGAAGGCTGGGCAGGAGGGGGAAAAGCACCTGGAGTGGGTACGTAAGGTGAGGGAAGAATTCTCTCTGCAGCCACGCAGACCCCGAACAGCTTCCTTCCTCCTTGTTTCTTGGATTACCTCAACCTGTTATTCAGGTTATGAAATTGTGACGCAAAGGCACAGGAAGAAACATCCTGTTCCCCTGCCTGCTGGCTTGAGTGGCCCAGGCACAGACTCAGTGGAGGGTGGAGGGTAGGAAGCAGGAGATGGGGTGGGGAGGTCAGAAGTTAGAAGGCCTGAATTGCTAACAAATAGCTCCACTGCGAATTGAGCAGAATGCCCATAGTCCACCCTCACCATCCATGATCCTCTCTGTTCATCCTGCCCTCCCCGCCAGACCGCTTCTGATTTCTGGCTTCAGGTCCAA